CTGTTATTTGCTCAGCGACGCAGTAGACCAATTCGGCGGTCTAACACCAACAGCAGTCGCAAAAGACCGCCGCGCCAGGCAGCGGACAGAGAACTATCGATCACACTCATTCAAACCCAACGGGGTCTCAATATATCAGACGAATGAGATATACACGACAGTTGAACAACGTACTAACGCGTGTTTGTAAGAGGACAACGAGCAATGTGATTGGGCTTAAAGAAATGCCAACGGGAACTAGCTCATAAAAATGGTGGCCACAGGCGGTTTGTCCAAGGCAATTGCCCGACAATATCATACTTTGCAGCTGTGTGTCTGCCGACGGCACTATCAGCAAAGCAGTTTCTCTTCGCATAACTAAATCTTGATCAGCATTTGCCAATCTGAGGCACTTGTGGCGTCGTCGTGACGTCTCATTCTCGCTAAAGGGTCGCGTTTACAGCGCATCTGTTCGCTCAGTGTTGTTCTTTGGGTGCGAGTCCTGACTGATTCGCGTGGAAAACATGCATCGTCTTTCTGACTTCGATAATGGTTGCTTAAGGAGGATTGCTCGTGTTCGGTGGCAATATCGAGTTAACAGTAATGACGTTCGACTTCGCATCGTGGGGAATTCAAATATTCCATTCAACAAACTGGATTTGCTGCGCCAGTTGAGATGGCTTGGGTTTGAGCTTCAGGCGATGCCCGCGCAGATGGTCTGACGTAGCCAACTCAAACAGATGGGTGGAACTAATACCACTAAGTCCCTTAATGATCTTAAACGTCTCTATCAAATCCCCTCTCAACCTACGCCGTTCCAAGGAAAATAATCCTAAGCTACTTAGACGATCTTCGTAAGACTTCCCTCGTTGACCTTCAATCATCCTGGTCGCAAGTTTCTGAATCTTTTCTATACAAATGATGTCACTCCGGAGGTACGGTGACCAGGCCTGAACACAATACTCCAGATGTGGCCTAACCACTGCTTTATATAAGGGCAAGAATACTTCTGCTTTAGTGTTACTCAGCGCCCTCCTAAGACGAAATAACTCGTTGTTTTATTAGCAGCAGGTGACATGTGCCGAAGGCTTAAAATTGTTCCTCGATGACACCTAGATCATGGGCTTCGTCAGTACACCGCAACGATTGAGATCCCGCAGAAGACTGAACCGCAATTCCACTACCACTACTAGTTAATAGTTGACATTTGTTGGCATTTAAAGTTAGGTCCCATTGGCTTGAACACCGCCACAGTGATGATGTCCTTAGCCAATGTCGCTCGGTTTCCGCTGCTGACTAGCTTCAAGTCATCTGCGAGGATGTAGCAGGGATCCTCAAGAAGAGGAGCCAGGTCATTTATAAACATAAGAAACACAACCGCTCTAATTAGATTGTGCTCAGTCAAGTGTTCACAAATCCTGTTCCTTATAAGCTTTTCCAAGCATTTCAGCATGATGCTGGTCAAACTAACAGGTCTATAGTTAAGAGGCACCGACTTAGAACCCCCTTGTGGATGGCAACAATAGTCGCCTCCTTCCAATCACGTGGCAGCTTGCCTTCTTGAAGAGACTGGTTGAATAACTCCGCTCACGTCCTACGCATAGCGCCCGAGCGTCTACAGCGTCGCGCTCTATTCGCTCATCAAGGACCTGGCTGGAGGGGACCGCGTGGTGGTCAGCCTTCCACTTGGCGACAGCACATGAAATCGTTGACGTCGTGTCTAGCCGCTGTTGGATCCGTACGTCTTCCAGGATGGGGACCCAAAGATGAGGAGTGCCAATGGCTTAACACTCTTGAAGACATGGCCCGCAACCGGAATCAATAGAAGAATTATGTACAGTATTGTATTGATTCACATGTTTAGTACTTTAAACATTGAACATGACAAAGAGAAAAATCGGCGTGTGGAAAACCAACTAAAACGTTTTGTTCTACTTGTTGTCAAAATGTTCCTTTCTTCCTGTGGCATATTAGCTGAAGTGTGTGACTCACCTTCAACTACTATTCCACGATGATTAGAGACGCGATGACTTCCCCTAATGCGCTAATCTCCATGATTTTCGTTGGCTCTGTGTCTACTTGCTGGACTGTTAAGATTACATACAGACATACATAGTACTTTGCTTTTAACATAGTAACAATGCCCACAACAAATCACATTGATTTCTCCTACCTTGTATATTATATCTTCCATCTGCCAAGTGATCACCTACTTTAGCGGACTCTGTTACTTTACTTGCCGAGGCGAGACCACGGCGTGGCCAACCGAAAAAAATTACTCATGAGACTTGATTACACTTTTACGTTCCGTCTTCTTGGACATGAGCTTCATTCTAGGCCACTTCAGTGGTTCCTGACTTTATGCAACATGTTATACGATGTCAATTGGGCTATGTATTTACACTATTTGCGTTATTTGTTTGTTATTTCCATTCTTCCCGCATCTCACGCTGTACTTTTTCGCACCTGTCCTCTTTTTTCCTTATCATTGTTAAACGAGGTTATAGTGAAAAGGCGGAAATACAGCAGTTCGACGCTGACATCCCTATTGTCTAACTGAGCTTAATGCAGAACACTTGTACAGTCCCCATTGAGATCACAACTACACATGCAGTTGTTTTGTTCTATTTTGTGTAGACAAGTTGTTTTCGAATTCTTTCTATTTCATTTCATTATGCAGTAGATAGTAGTCGTTATGGATAGACGTAACCGATTGCCTACTTTTCTCAATGATCATCACCGGCGCACATTGTGCGTTGAGTAGCGCCTCGCGTTCGATTTGCTAGCAGTCGCATCGTGAAACCCATCTGCATGAATGGATTTTTCACAACATATCACATCCCGTGTACGTTTCAAGCGCTGGCTCTGTGAGAGACTGCGAAGAATGCGCTGCCATAAGTCCCCTTTGTGCTATTCGGTCTCAGTTGCCTGCGTCATCATTCATTGATTATCTCAGCCTTGCAGTCTTTTTTGTGGAAATACGTTCTACGCCCCCTTTTACCAATGTTCGAGGGAGCTTCACATTTCTGATTCCTATGTTGCTTCTTCTGTCATAATTACTTTGTATATGTGACCCGACAAACATGACTGACTTTTGTGGTTTGCAATTGTATCGCATATTTCTCACGCTTGTGTCGCCACTGATCCGCTACGTCAGATTTCGGTCAACAACCGGTCAGTCAGAAGCTTTATCCAGGTAGACAGTTTGCGTACTCTAGTGATCGTTTTGACCGCGGTTTTTTTGCACTTCCCATTTGCTGCCAGAACCATTCGTTCCATCATATAGACTGATAGCTGCAGTGCTCAGATACGTAAACGTCCTCAAGACTTGCGCCAACTTTTCAACTTTCTTGATCACCGAATCAGCTGGCAGGAACCGAAAAAGCCACCTACGTCATGGTGACTATTTCCGCCTCAGAACTCAGACCTGCCCACTGCTGGTCACAGACACCGAGTTACTGCTTGAAGTGCCATGGATTGATCGCGTCGTTCACGACTACGTGGCCGATAACGCAGCGGTTCAGTAGGTAGAGCTCGACAAGTGCTCCTCGGGTATTTCGTTAAACTTTTTGCTTAATTTGAACCATTCCCGCGAGTTTTGTCATTTCGATACTCATATATAGTTTGCAGACCTAGGTGAGTGCATTACATCTGTGCTGCACTTTGCTGGGTGTGTTATCAAGGTTGCCACACAATGACGCGGTTCAGGGGTACAAGTATGTTGCCGGGAGACCCCGTTATGGCGGTACATTCGGATTCTTGTTGCTCATTCAACGATTTTTGCTCATCTTTATCCTTCAATACCTAATCTTTTTTAGTTGTTTGTTCGTTCCCTGAGCTTGTTAATCTTGTTACCAATGTCGCGTCACCAATGGAGATGCAATGATGACAGCACTTCAGTTAGTGACGAAACGTTTGCGATCAAATAAGCTTGGCGAACAAAAAAACGACCGCTTTGTCAACGCGAGCTTCCGGTATTCCGAAACCTTTTGACTTGGTCTCTTTATGTTTGCTTTCGTTATTTCGGCACCACATCAATGTTTGTCTTAGCCGATCAATCAACCACACTATGCCCTTTGATCGTTTTCATTGAGTTGAACCGAGATTTCGCATCCGCTTTCTTACTTTCAACCACTGTTGCATACTCCACGCATTCTCATCCGACTCTCTTTTGTCTCTTTCTCACCACTTTTGTTCTGCCTCAACGATACCTTTTTTAGCGGTTTGATCCAACGAACTCCACTATCCGGTTCATTGTTTTCCATCAGCTCTCTAATCGGTAGTTGTGAAACGTGCCTTTATATTAGCGCTACATTCGGTTTCCAAATACGCTTTTTACTCGGTACCGTGGTAAGCATAATGTCCAAGGACATTAACTTGACATCACATGGAGAACCACCTCACCCTTTATGCGCGGCGAGCGTTTTTCAACTCCGACGGCTGACATACGTGCACTTCTGTTTTGACTGATTCGCACTGATATATCCATTAGTATGCATTCACCCAGACTCATATGCCTCACCGAAGCATAAGTCTGTTTAGTTTTCAATCAACAAGCATCGACTTAACCTGCTTGATTTCCGCCTCATCCGTGTTGTCTGCTGTGGTGCGAACAAGTGCTGCTGCAACTAGCTCACTGAGGATGTTGCCATCTTATTCCTCCATCTGGAAACACTGCTTTGTAACGAGAGACGGAAGCAAGTCGACAAAGATTCTCTTGCAACTCGGTTGATTTATGAGAACACCGAATTTTTCCACTCTGAATAGTGCCTAGTCATTAAGGATCAGCATATCACTTGGTCTCTTGTCACTTACCCTCATCGTTTTCCTAGTTATGTACTCTGCGGTGCATGTGTCAGATTTGTAGAACATCGACATTTGAGTAGAGCAAGCGGCGGTGATATACATCTATGTCGGGATTCACTTTTGATTGCATGCGGCGTTGCCATATACTCTAACTGTGCTCTATCGTTCGTATTTTATCGCATTTTCGTCCACCCCTTCCCCCCGCTTTCCAACAGTTCGCCACTCCCCACCGTCTAATTCTCTCTGGCAGCCCGGTTCAGAACAATCTCCGCGAGCTGTGGTCCGTTTTCGATTTCGTCTGCCCAGGCCGCCTAGGTCCATTGGCCGATTTCATGCAACAGTTTTCCATCCCCATCACGCAGGGGGGTTATGCGTCAGCTTCCCCACTTCAAGTACGCGTTTTTGTATCTTTCCAATTTTCTACGCTCCCACACTTATGTGGTGGAAATACTTTATCGTACACGTCCTGGGTGTTTTAAACACCATCGCAGCCTTTGGGTTTCACCATGTATATCACATTGTTTCTGGCAAGTCGATTGCCTCTGCCGTTAATGCGAATGAATGCTTTTTTCACGCGAAGTTTTTCAGTTCGGTTGCACTTTTCCTCAGTGTTCCTAGCTAAGTTTCGATGTTTATCGACTCACGCTTGTTCTGAGTGTGATAACATTCGGGAAAATACAAGGTTAACCAGTGTAGTTGTGAAAGTTTCTGTCAGCCTAGAATTTGTGACGTAGAAACTTTTCCCATTTATTTACATCTCATGACCATCTATTTCAACGTCACGTGAAGCTATTTCTCTTTCGAATCGAACATTACTGGTACACCACTTCGCTTTCCATCTTCTCCACACAACTGCACTGTTGCAGGTGGAAACTGCCTACCGTTGTGCCTGCACTCTGCGCGACCTCCTCATGCCGTACTTACTCCGTCGCCTGAAGTCAGACGTACGTATTCAACTCCCATCCAAGTCCGAGCAGGTAGGTGTTGCTTATCAATCTCGGATCTGGTGTCGCGATCAATTTGTCTACTTTCATCAGTTTATTTGTGTCACTATCTTTACTTGCATTAATTGGTCGATTTGACCACCTAGTCCAAGTCATAGAGGTTCATCCATCATTTAGTTGCAAACAGCAACAACAATATCAAGTAATAATAATAATAATACTAATAATAATAATAATAGAGTTTTCCTATGGGAAGGTGAAACCTTGTATTCATCGTCGTCCCGACGTTTCACGGCACGGCTGCTTGTACCCCCTCAAAGTGTTTGTGTTGCACTATTTCATCCTCGGGTGCATCTCGCACAGGAGTTTCAGGAGAGCCGAAAATACGGCCATTGGGCCGGACTGATTGAGTACGGAAATCCGTCATTAGAATGCAGTTGGATCCAAGAAGGAAGTCGTATGTTACTTTTCACGGGGAAGTGTTAAGGGAGCAGGCATCCCTTTGCTAGCGGCCCGGAACAGTTGAACATGACGCAGGCCGAGGCCTATTAGCTACTGGCGACTCTTCACCTTGGACGCTGCCAATGTGGAAGGTCTACCTTGAAGCCCGCCAGTGAGCGCTAGGCCATTCCCTTATTAACTAATGATTCGACCCCATTATTTGATTTGTTTAAACTGCTTGTCGGGTGTATCGGCCGGTGGCCGAGTGGTCTGCACGCCTGATTTGCAATCATAAGGTCACCGGTCCGGATCTGCGGAGGGACGGACGTCCTCACAGTATACTTAGCCCGCGCGCGATTGGTGGTGCTCGCGTGGCAACGATCCACCGTTACTGCGTACACCTGACACATTATTTATCTATTTGCCGTGTGATCAATACAATTTTCGCCTGAGGCCTTTGTCTTCTAATCTGGAAAGGTCGGCCGGGGCAGCTTGCGCGGTAGCAACATGTTATCCTTACAATCAGTGGAAAACGTAACAGTTATCCACTAGCTATAGGGTCATACGTATGGTGGATGAATTTAAATTGCGCTCCTTTTGTCACTGCTTTTTTACCAGCCGTTTTTCATTTTCACGTCCTTTGCTGTCTCTTAATGTTCATTGCTCTGCTTGGGCTATTCATTTGCAGCTTCCCGTGCGACCCGCACCCATTCTGTCTTTAGCGACCTTATGGCTTATTCTTACTGAGGCGCATCAATTTTCTACCCTGTCCGTCCACTTTGTGCAGTTAGCATAAACCGCACTTGATTGGTTCCCATCCGCTCGCCCAGTTAATCAACTGCCATCACTCACTCCGCCTCCCTAGAAAGGCACGTTGAAGAAACGCGTATTGTTTACACACTGTTATCCTGATCAACTCGTCCCTCCCTTGCTTGGAGGCACTCTGCACTGCATCAATTCTGTATTGTTCGACCGAACCGTGCAGTCGTAGTCCGCTCGCGTTGGCGACACTTGCTTAACTTTTTGTCTATCTGTCCCGCATTGAGTCACTCATCGCCACCGCATCGCCGACCCTTAAGTGACACACGTGTCTGTGGGATGCAGTGTGACTCAGAGATAACCATTGTTCCCACCCAGTTACATTCGGTTTTCCATCTCCCGAACTTCCATTGCTTGATGTGTGCGTTGAGGTATGTGAAATGTGGCTTAACCCATGTAAACTTCTGCAGACGCATACATCCCGTGGTTATTTGCGGCTACATCGATGAAGAGATACGTCAATGATTCTCACCAGTAACATTTGCATTGTAGGCCACTGCATTCGATAGAATCAAATCTATTATCTAGGTCTTGGCCATTCGAATCAGCTGTAGTGCCTTACTTATCTGTGACTAGCATTTCTCTTGTGACACTTTTCACGAATTCATGAAAAGGAAGTTTGATGTGGATTCATCGATTTTATCACCCCTCACTTTACTTATTGCAACGATGTCCACCGACGATCATCTTCAGCGCCCCTTTGCCCTGTACCCACATTCAGCTCTTCTGATTGTTCTACATTTCCGGATGTTCTTTCGGAAATGCTGCTCCCACACCTCTCGGTTGATTCCACTTTACTGCCATTCACCAAACCGTTCGTCAGTGACTGACCTTATTTTACTAACCTCTCCTGACTTTGGTTCTCCTTTGCCACCTCCACATTGCGCCCATCTTTGATCTACCCAACCGTGCGAACATTTTTACAGACCTGTAGTTTTGGACTACATCGAACTTTCCTTCCGTCTAGTTGATAATTGTGAAACTGTGATCCTACTAAATCTCCAAGTCTCTAACTGCAATTCGCGCATTCCCCGCGTGACTAGTAGCTGATGCTTTAACTGTACTTGAGAACCACGTGCTCGTTTACCTTTGTCAGTTCAGTGTATGCTAATGGTTCAGGTCGTCTGCATTTTGTCCACCCGGTTTACTGCAGCATCAGAACTTCTCACAACTTACGCCGTCCGTGCCACTGCAACGGGCTATTGTTCACATGCTGTCGCTTTGTGTAGACAGAATAATAATGCTATCAGCCTTAATTACACTACATGAGCCATTTCTATCTATGGACTGATTATGTTCTCGGGCAACTGGTCATTGTTACCCACAAAACACTCGTATTGTCCACTGGTAGGTCCGTTAAGCATACCTGGTCATTGACCAAGCCGAATACATTGCATCGGCTCTGGCAATATGTTCAACTCCGTCTTCATCCTTTGATATGTCCGCGAAACTTGTAACTTTGCCGCCACGAATTATATCTTTGAGATGCAGCTACTTATTATCCGGCGTAGGCCACCGCGTGAGATCCGCATAGCATACATTTGTCATGAGTAATACCGCTTTTGCCAACTCGCAGCAAACCACTCTGTAAACGTTTTGTTTTTACTCGATGAGATGGAGTCTGGTGAATTAGTGGCTAGGGTCTATCAGATGATGAGCGTTTATGAGTAACATCAACTAAGCAACCGTTCAGCTACTATCGCATCGCACTCCATCCCTAAATCAGCCCCAGCACAGCACCACTAATAGCATTCTGCACGCAGTGTTTGTACCGACTTCATTAACGGGGAACTTTTCTAACTCCCTTCGACCATCGTATCCCTTCGGTGAACCCTGTGCTCTCCACACACACACTCGCACGCGCGCGCACACACACACACAATGGCATGTGGCCAAAAGGGCTACACGCCTTTTTTAATCCGGAGGTCACCGGTTCGAATTCGTGGTATACCCAACCCACTCGTATCCGGTAGTGGTCGCGTGGCAGAGAAGCTTCGGTACGATTTAACGGCGTATTGCTGTTGTTTTGCTATTCCCATCGGTTACAAATTAATATGAAAAGAAAGTGGAGGAACTTCTCATCTTGTCCTTATAGTGTCAACTAGTCGCGGATTGTTTCAGGCATCTGGTTTATTATCTGCGCGTTACCGATGCCGGTAGCATCACAGTATACCAGCCCGCATGCCACCACCACTGGTGTTTGCGCGACACCGAAGCGCACTGCTTTTCTGCATGCACACACACCACCATCTAGCGATAGCTCTACGTGTGACTGTATTCCTATGTAAGTGAATCTAGAACCTGCGGCACCTGAACCTTTTGTAAGTTTCACGACACTAGCCGTCGCCATTTACACGCTCGCTATCAGCTACTGCCTGGCTCGCCAGCTGCGCGAAAAGACCTCGTCGTGACGTCTGCCGATTATGTGCCTATCAGCGATTACCGAGTTCATCTCATACTTACTCTACATCTCCATCACTCATGATATTCACACTCCTTATTCTCCTTTTGCCCATATCACAGGTTCTTTTTTGCCGTCTAACGGGTTATCAACGTCAATTGTACGAAGAGTTCACTGAATCGCAACTGTGCAAAGATCTGCTGAACGGCAAAGGAAATGTGAGTGCTTCCATCGCGTCTTTGTCTTTCCGTTCCGTTCCATTTTTACCACATTTCCCAGTGCTCAAACCGTCTATCGCCTTCCAGCGGTCTTGTTGGATGATCTTTTAGGTCATTTCTCTTGTTTTAGCCGATTATTTGTCTGTGTAAATTCTCCACTTTTTTATGACTGCCACGATCGATACTCTGACGAACCGTACTTCCCACCAGTTTCTCCTTCCTAATTGGCCGCTTGTTTGCTGTTGTGTTGTTGTCAAGCATAAGCCAATCACAAAAGCCTGATGAGGAATTAATGAAAACATATGTTCGCTTACACAGACTTTTAATCAATCAGTGGGTTTTTTCAATTCAATAAGCCAATCTAGAGACAGACTCACGGACTTGGACTACGCCGATGATATCGCCTTGCGCTTTGGACCGCTTGGCGATGAAGGCGTCTAAGTACAGCCTATGCTTCACTCCGGGAAAATGTAAAACGCTGCTCCAGGACTGGCAGGTGCCTAAACCGCGCTCACCATTGCTGGACATGTTCTGGAGCAAGTCCCTTGCTTTACTTCTCTAGGGAGTTGCATCCCGGCTGGTGTCGGTGTTGGAGATGAAGTCTCACAACGGATTGCAAAGGCCCGCCTTGCATTCATCAAACTGAGACATCTATGGCGTCGTCGTGATGTCAGTCTCAAGCTCAAGGGCAGGGTGTACAATACTTCCGTCCGTGCAGTACTCTTGTACGACTGTGAGACTTGGCCTATTCGCTCGGAAGATATGAAGCGGCTATCAGTCTTTGATAATCGCTGTCTACGAAGGATTGCTAGGGTGTGGTGGCAACACCACGTAAGCAACACAGAGAAGAGAGACCGCGTGCTTGGAGCGAATAGTGCCAGTCTTCAGGACGTTATTCTCCGACATCGCATGCGTTGGCTCGGGCACGTTCTGCGCATGCCAGCACATCGCCTTCCACGTCGAGCGCTATTTGCACTCCCAGGAGCGATTGGAAAAAGTGCCGCAGTGGACAGTCGATGACGTGGAGAAGGAGTATGAAGAAGGCAACCTCAAGTTTGGCGGCAGTCGGCCCAGTCCATCTTTCAGGTTGGGGACCACAAGATGCTGAATCGCAGTGGTTGGAAACATTAGACGTCATGGCCCGCAACAGACATCAGTGGCATCAATGTTGTTCTGCAATTTCACCATCCATTTGATGCACACAAAAACTCACAAAACAAAACAAAAATACAAAACGGCGTGTGTAAAACCAAAAAATAGTTTCCCATATTTTTTAATCGCATTAGTGTTCCGAGCTTCACTTTTTTCTGCCATGGTTCTGATGGCACAATGTCTGTTAACAGACTGTGAATGTATATATATATATATATATATATATATATATATATATATATATACATGAGTAGGTAGGTTTGTTTCAAGTGGCCCTACAAGCTGTTCCAATGCTGGCCCACAGCCCCATGCCCTTGCTGTCCATCACCATGGCGTTTCTTACATGTATCACAGCCATGAACCTCGAACGTGCGTAAGGCTTGTTCAGTGCACGATGCTCATTGGCTGTCCTTCAGGAGTAGTTCCCACCAGCAGGTATGGAAGCGAACGAATGTCGCATCTCGTTCACCACTTGCGTACCGTTTTGTTACCAAATAGACAGTTGGGCACCGATTCGTGGCTAAGTGAATTGCCTAATCTACCACCGCCTTCCTCGTGTCCAAAATCGCAACGAGTGCTCTGACCGTTGTGGCAAGCATTATCTACAGTGATACATTCTAGGATTTCGAACTCCTGCTCAGCCATCTCCGCGAAACCAAGCGTGAATCCTGCTGTTTCTCCCGTATTTGCATTTATCACCACATTCCACTTTTGTGCGTTTGCCTAGTATCGCGAAGCATCTCCACAGCAGAGCATCATTCTGCTCGCTTGTTCTCCGAAGTGACGGCTGGCGTTATGCTGGAAACCAACTTTTTTGAAACCAAGGCGCGGGGGACAATTATTCGCACACCATGAATTTAAGTCCATTGGCCTTGACCACTCGTTGCACACGCTATCTCTGATTTCAGAACAACTGCAAATCGCTCCAGCCCTTTATCAGTGGTGTGCAAACCAACCCGAGTCCACCTGCGGCGTTTGCGTGTCATCTAACACGGTCAAAAACACGCAGTATTCCTCTGTAATTCGATTGGTTTGTTGAATCACCTTGGAATAGGCTCCCACTTAGCTTGGTAATCACGGCCATGACTTTAGCTCATGCCCCCTTCTAACCGTTTAACCAAGTACTGCAGTTTGGAACGAGTGAGGAGATCTTTTCAGCAATGAGATTCAGGTTTTTTTTGGGAGAAATGCATTCATAAAATCCTGCGACTGGTCCTTAATCCTTGTTTCAACTCTGCTTGCCCTAACTCTCCTTGCCAACAAGCTTGTGATCGCACCCTGCACCTTTCAAACATGGAGTTACCTTTCTCACGGGCCATCTGCCTATCCACTATTTGTGCCTCAGACTTATCTTCTTTACTCCTGTGTCAAGCTGCGCATTATATAGGCACTATCTTATCTCAAGAGATGCACACCACCTACTTTCCTCTGCTCGCACTTTTCCGATTGGTGCTATGGTTATGTTGGGCAGCCTTTGGCCACGAAGCAATCTTTTTCTTTACACTGCACTCCCCAGTCACAGTGAGTAGGAGTCAGTGCAACTTACGTTATTCTGTCTACTTATCTATCTATCTATCTATCTATCTATCTATCTATCTATCTATCTATCTATCTATCTATCTATCTATCTATCTATCTATCTATCTATCTATCTATCTATCTATCTATCTATCTATCTATCTCCGTTATTCTATGTATTCTGTTAACTGTTGATGTTCATCCTACAATCTCCAGGTCTTCGAAGCGCTCATTCTTCTGCGGAAGTTGTGCAACCACCCAGACTTGGTGACCGGAGGGCCGAGGGATCGCTTCGAGTCTGCTGAGGCCACGTCGGCGGCAGAGGCCGGCGATTTGGATCCGGCATGCCTTCAGCGATTCAGTTGGACACGCTTCGGTTGTCCTTTGCGCTCGAGCAAAATGATCGTGGTTTCGTCGCTGCTTCGTTCTTGGTCTGCTCAGGGCCATAAGGTGCTCCTTTTCTCCCAAAGCCGCCGAGTGAGTTCCTCTAATGCACTGGTATTCTTTCCAAATCCCCAGTTCAGCAATTGTGTTCATGGAAGAGGTACTATCTGTAGTCTTCATAATTTGTTTACTGACCTTCCTACTGCTTTTTGTCTCAAATAAACATGGCGACTTTGTTAGCTTGAGCTCTAGTCTGGGAAACGAAACGCGCCTATAGCATCCAATTTAGTAGATAGTGACTCTATCTCCTATGTCTAAATCAACCATTTCCCCTCTCACCGTCGCCATCATTACCAACAGCGGTACATCAACCATACACTGCCGTACAATCACACTAGAGCAATAGTCTGTTGCATATACATAGTGGGAGAGAAGGAACCTCGTCCCACCCCCAATCGCCTCCACCATGTTAACAACACGTGGTCACAAGTAGCTGGTTATCGTGCGTAGATAGAGCTGCTCTAGCGACACCATTTCCTTGCGAATTTCACTACCCTGCATCATAACCGGCCTTCCTCCAAGGATACCTCAGTACCAGGGTAGAAACGAAAAGGTATCAGCAGTACCGACGCTTGGCTGCCACGTAGCCACCACCAGTCGCGTGTGGGCTCCGGATACTACTTAGGTCGCCCGGTCCGCTACCCAGGCTCGAACCCACGTCCTCGAATTACAAGGCAGGCTTGTGTTCCTTAACAATATAGTAGTAGTCGTAGTAGTATTAGTAGTAGTCTAGCAACTAGACACAGAGCCAACAAAAACCATGGAGATTAGCGGATTAGGAGGTCATCGCGTCTTAATCATCGTGGCATAGTAGTTGAAAATGAGCAACCCACTTCAGCTAATATGCCGCAGGAAGAAAGGAACATTTTGACAAAAGGTAGAACAAAACATTTCTAGTTGGTTTTCCACACGCCTTTTTTTCTTTTTTGTCATTTTCCATGTTTGAAGTATTAAACATATGAATCAATACAATACTGTACACAATTCTTCCAGTGATTCCGGTTGCGGATCATGTCTTCAAATGTGTTAAGCCATTGGCACTCCTCATCTTTGGGTCCCCATCCTGGAAGACGTACGGATCCAACAGTGGCTAGATACGACGTCAACGACTTCATGTGCTGTCGCCATGTGGAAGGCTGACCACCACGCGGTCCCCTCCAGCCAGGTCCTTGATGAGCGAATAGAGCGCGACGCTGTAGACGCTCGGGCGCCATGCGTAAGATGTGACCAAGCCATCTCAATTGGCGCAGCAAATCCAGTTTGTTGAATGGAATATTTGAATTCCCCAAGATGTATGAAGGTAACGTGCTCGTAAGATGGCGGTATATTTCTCTGGCACCCCGTTCTTTAACAAGCAGCGCCATAAAGCAAGTCGATCAACGGAGTCAAAAGCGGCACGTATGTCTTGTAGTGCAACGGTAGTGGGCCTGTGATAAATGTGGCGATGTTCGAGGAGCTTGCGGAGCGTGAAGATTTGATCCACGCACCCGCAGCGGGGATGACAACCAACTAGTTCTTCACGTTAGTATGATCCACGTACTAGGGATAGTCTGCGAAGCATGGTGGATGCCAATAGCTTGGAGGCAATCGAAATAAGACTGATCGCGCGATGATTTACACATGCAGTCCGAGCGCCTTTCTTGAAATTCGGGACAATAACTGATTCGCCCCAAGAGGATACTTTCTTCATGCCAGATTTTTGCGAACAGCGAGGTCAACTGGTTAATGATCACCACACCGCCGTACTTGAACAGCTCCGGAGGAAGTCCGTCTGGGCCGGCAGCCTTGAACCTTTTCAAGCGTAGAATCTCGAGGCAGACTTCCGCTTCGCTGGGTGGATTCAGTGGGAGGAGCCAGGGTGGACAACAAGGTGTACTGCATGTGCTGATGGATGGTGGAGGCCAGTTAGACTGCGAATGAAAGTGCTCGGCCCAGCGCCCCATACGCCTCTGTTGGTTGGTGATCGGAGACTCATCCACCTCACAAATGACCTCACTGACTCCAGCTCCCTGAGGCCAGTGGACCGAGTGAGTTGGAAAAGCTTGCGACTGTTGCCAGAGAGGGCAGCGGTCTCCATCTCTAAAGCACTCTCAGACCATCATGTCTCGCGATCCTTGGGTAGGCTTTGCTTGAGCAGCCGGTTGGCAGAACGGTGCCGCTCGTTGCAATCTGATTCCGCCGGTATATGTTTGCGGCGTTCGAACGGTTCCAGAGAATGAGTAGAGATCCAAGCCTTTAAGGCGTGTCGAGTTAGGCCGCAGCTTGACTCTCCGGAAATGATCATCGCTTCCCGTATACAGATCCGGTGTTGCCCCACGTCTTGCGGTGGATTGCAACTGAGTGAAGACTGATAGCTCGACTGGACAGAGGGATCTGTTAATCCGTTTACATCAATCTTGCAGTGCTTCGTGTTTCGGGACCTCCCAGAACACATACAGATTTTCTCGCAGACCAGAGCGTGATCTGAGTCCACGAAGGTGGACCAAGAGGACTTGCAGTCCAGTATGCTGCCGCTAATTGCAATGTGGTCAATTTGGGACCACGGATGTGTTGGCGAAGGGGGACGCCACGTTGCGGAACGCTTCTTCGTATGCCTGAAGTTAGTGTTCGAGAGGAACAGATGGTTATCTTCGCGCTATGTGAGAAGCCTCTCTCCGTTATCAGAGCGGTTCTCATCGAGTGCGTGATGACCATCAAGGTGGCGTTCGTATGGTAGCAAGCGGCCAACCCGTGAACTAAAATCCCCAGCAAGGATAACGACATCCGACATTTTAGCATTAGTCAAGAGCTGATGTAGATCCCGGTAGAATTTGTCCTTGACCGAGTCACTACTGCAGTCAGTTGGAGCGTACACCGAGAACACAAACATGTTGCGTCTCTCTTCGCGTTGCTTGTTGATTCTACATAAACCCCGAAGCCGAACTGCACCTAGTTGGCCGTTAATCGGGAACCAGTCCAGTAGTGACGCCTCGGTCTTTCCACTTAGTGCTATACCTACACCAGCCAAACCCGCTGATGTTGTTTCTGGATCTGCAGAAACACGCAGGTGCTATCTGGCTTCATGGTCATTTGGGGTTGTCAATGTAAGCATAGTGCTGGGGTCTTGCAACCGGGTTTCTGAAAGGCAGCAGACGTCAATATCTAGGTACTTTAGGGCGCGCGCTAGACCGCCTTGATGTCCAATCTGCATGAGTGTCCGAACGTTGAAGCGCGCCAAACGGAATGAGGATCGGGGACGAAGGAGAGCCATAGGTTGAACTCCTTGGTCTGCGGCGCAACCGGAATCGCAACCAGATTGTTGAACACATGAGTCGGGTAACGGAAGTGAGGATTGCTAGAAAACAATCAACTAGCGTGTGATGAAGTCGCGTGAATGTGAGAAGCAGAAACAATAGCTGATGAGCACTTTGTAGTACAATCCATGGTTTTGTGAGAGGGCGTGATACTACCCGGTTGCCCAAGCCGAAGTATGGAGTTGACTTAGTGGACTCCACTCCGAGCCTATGGCTAAATAACCTACCCGCAAGGCAGCGGGGCGTATTTTGGGAAGCGCTGACTGCATGTTCAGTTCATGCGTCTTTGTTTGGTAGATTGCCAAACAGGGACCTAATACTCCCCGTGAAATCAGCACAATTGCTGGAATACAATGCCCTCACCGAGGTGGAACATTGTCGCCGAACACTGCTGCAACGGGGTACACCCGAACCACTCAGCTGGCACCACTAGGAGGTAGTTCAGCAAGCCAGCTCCTTAACAATATAATAATATAATATCTATTTAATGTAATGATACAAAATGCTCATAATGTATAATACATGTGTGTAATATTATAATATCACACGAACGCTAGCATCCATCGCGATTCTCCGAAAGCACGTTTCTTTTGGACGACCACGGGGTTTTGACTTACGTTGCACTGTTGAGTGAGTACAAATTCAGCTAGGTCGGCGCGTCGGCTATTTTATGACAAAAGTCTACACATTAACGCGTGTTGGGTCACTTCAGTTTTCAATAGCAGTGGGCCATCTGTCGACTTTTTAATGTGCACGTTATACGCTATGAATAAACCTACTGCAGAAGACGTATGACTGATTGCGAAAATATGCAGAGATTACATCAAACCACCTCTATCCCGATAACTTAAGTGTGATTACCCCGTAACGGAAATTCAATGTGATCTTTTACTTTTTCATCTACCGCCTGCAGTAGCATCGCTATCATCGTTGGCTATAATTACTTCACTTATCACGCAGTAGTTCACCCTACTTGAAGTTTTTTTTATGTCCGAAGTGCATTGTTTCTCACTATATATGCCATATGGTTGTTCTCAGGTTATCCCGATACCTTGAGTTTTCGATCGGTTCCAGGCATAGTTTCGGATATTCAACTCCTTTACCACTTACAACGGTAACTTATGGTGGCTTTCAACCAACAATGCGGAAATGCAAACTTTAACAAATACATCACAACTTTCCGTTGTGAGTTGGATACATCTTCGGCATGTTTTGTCATTCGTTAGCATTTGGCAAAGCACTTGCAGCATTTTAGCTGAATGTGTGATGTGCTTATTATTCGTGGGTGCTAGCAAGACCAGAACTCAGTTCTCTTCACCTTTCCATCGGAGAATGAATGAAAAAGCAATGACTTGGTCGGTCGCTTGGACTTCGACCTGGAAGGCGAGATGTACCACATTAGAACCCAAATCAGTCGCCAGTGGCATCATAAGTTGCTGCGTAACCAACGTTTGCTATCCTCTAGCCTCGCATCACCTAGTACTTCCAGCATACAAAACATATTTCTCATTACGTTGTGGTCGGGCATACGTAGCACATGCCTAAGCCATCACAACTTATTAGGTGTGATTTCTTACGTTAATGGAACTAGACTTATTATCACCGCCTGTTACGCGTTTGCTCTTCTCCTCGTCACGGATACACGGCTACTAACGGACACCAGCAATGTTTCACACACAACGACGATCAAACACTTGAAAGCGCTTCAGGTCTTCCACTTCCGTAAAGTAAGATGGCTCTCAGTGGAGCGTTGTACACACGGCTTCGCAGGCCACAGATGTCGCAGGTTTATGAAGACAGTTCCAGACTTTGCACTACTTCGACCGCGCCCATCGTCCGAAGCCATTGAAGGATGGCGAAGAGGTCCAATTCGAAGCAGTTGGTTGATTGGATTCTGGTCGATTGTATTCCGGTGAACAGCCGTTTTTGGTGCAACTCGTTTGACATCGACCAAGGTTGATTCACAAAGTAGTAGAAAACGCTGTTTGTTTGTGATTTCCGCTTATGCTCCCATCTACCGTAGTTCTAATCCTATCAAGGACACATTCTATCACGAACTGGACGCACTACTACGCAGTGCTACTAGTTCAGATATTATAGTACTTGCAGGGGATATGAACGAACAAGTAGGGCGTCTGAGCTCTTCAAACGCTCAGCTAGGTGGTAGTTATGGGCTTGACTCCGAACGGACTGACAACGGTGAGTGTCTGCTGCAACTGTGTGCGAAGCACCAGTTGTTTCTTAGTAGCACTGCTCTTAGACACTTTGGGCGCCGAGGTGCCACTTGGCGTCCTGCTGTAGCTGGCTAGCGATGGACCCAAATTGATCACATTGTCATAAGTTACAGGTGACGTGGTTCCATCCTAGATTGCAGCTCCTACTGGTATACCTGCGTCGACTCTGAGCATGCCTTGGTAGGCTGTCGTTTTTCCATGAACTTTACCGGGAGGCGCACCAAGCGTCTCCCCTGATTGACAGCGGAGAAATTGTCTCAACCCTCGGTCAGACAAGGCTATCAAGATGCGCTGCGTACCGAACTTTCGCTGTCTTGTTCTAATGACACTGACCTTCAGTGGGCTGGGATCTCGACGGTTAGTTGATTTTGATTATGCGGACGATGTCGTCTTGCTTTTTGACCATGTTGCGACAGCACAATCAACCCTGAATAACCTCTCTAGTGTGGTCGCATTATTTGGCATGCGTTTCGCGCCTTCGAAGTGCAAGGTGTTGCTGCAGGATCACCAGCCAGTTTGTGACCCCTTGACCGTTTCTAACGAGGAACCCGATTTGGTTGATCAATTCACTTATCTTGGCAGCTTCCTCAGCAACGATGGGTACATGAAAACAGAAGTCATTTCACGCATTGCGAAAGTCATGGTTGCCTTCTTGAACCTGCGGAATTTTTGGCAACAGAATGGCATTTCCCTCCATCTTTAAGGCCGTGTTTACAAGGCCACAGTGAGGACCGTCCTTCTCTATGAGAGTGCGACTTGGCCTCTTCGGTCTGATGGACTGAGGCGCCTTCAAGTTTTTGATCATCGTTATCTGCGAAGCATTGCTGGTGGCGGGTGGCACCAGCGTGTCCGCAACGACGATGTGCTTAGGCGAGTACTAGGCAGTGATAACCAAGCTAGTTCCTTAGAGTAACAGATAGCACTAAGCAGGTTGCGGTGGCTTGGGCACGTACTACGTATGCCCGGTCACCGCTTACCTAGGAGGATCTTGTTTTGTCTGCCAGATATCGAGTGGCGCAAGGCCCGAAGTGGTAAAAGGTTAATTTGGCAGCGTGAAATGAAGTCACTGACGATCAAACTGGGTGCCTTTGGTCCGTCTCGTCTTCCGGGCTAGAGTCCACGTGACTCATTTGTGCTTGGCTCGAGACTACAGGATATGACTCGCAGTCGACACCAATGGCGCGTCTGCTGTTCTCTCCTGGTCTGCTTGTTTTTGTCGTCTTTGGCGCTGAGTTGTCTGCGGGGTAATGCCTGATTATGACACCGGGCAGTGAAAGCCGCAAGGAAGCTGTCTCGCTGACGCCGCCTTATCTTTGCACTATAACCATCTGTTCGTGACGTTATGTTGTTAACACAAGGTATAGGCGTCTTAACCCGGAATGCTTGCTTAGGGCACTAAGGTTTTCAGGTAAGTCCCCCTTCTCTCCCTCTTATTATTCTTTGTTCCACAGGTCACCATGGTTGTGTGGCAGCGAAGCATCAGTTCATTTTGCTGGTGTACTGCTGTTGTTGATTGAATGAATAATTTTACCTTCTGTTGGATGCTATATGTTTCAAGAAGTAATAGTTGACATGGTAACAGATAATGAAGTAACTATCCAATAGAATGGACACTATTGATCCGTCTCGTCTTCCTGGTTGATGCTCAGCTCCAGAAATTATGTGACGTGGCTTACACTAGTGTAGGGCCGTTTGTCAGTTGGATGCGCCGACACATCTATTTGTGTACCACCAAAGCCTCTTTTGTTATTGATGAGAATGCAAATGTACTTGTCCTCCGACATCCTGTAAGACAATGGCATTGAGTTTGTGTAACATCTAATGCTTACCTAATCTGATTTGGGTAACTCCATGATGACCAAAAGTATTTCACGTAGCGAAGCCTAATGTATCATGTTGCATCTGCCCGTAGTGTTGCGTCCGCTTTGAAGCGGGTGAGATTTAGCTAACAGCATTGTGGCTTTTAACAGTGACCACTCTTCTGCGTCCTATCACCGTCGGTTACTGGTACTTCTTGTTTCGGCGATCCGTGCCATCGTCGTTTAAACGTTCGCCTTTCATCTTCCATGTTTCGAGTTCGGTTTCTCCACCCCGAATTTGGTTTGTGCGAACAGCCGCTTGTGGCTACGTAGCAAAGAAATATTAGTACAGGGTACCGGTATGCTGTCTATACGGTTAGTTTCCTAGTACCGGCTACAGTGCTCCCATTGACACTGGTCTTTGTGTCGCTCTTTCTTGCCAGTCATATTACATTGCTGCGGTGAACTTACAAACCAATGTCAACAAACCTCGATGAGACACCTGGTCTTTTGATTCCGTTCAGTACTCATACACAGTCTAGCTTTACCGTATTGGGCTTTGATTGCCTCTTTGCACTATATATGAGGCTCTTTTTTCGTGATCAACTAGGGAAGCCGTTACTCTACTACCTGCCTCATTTCCAGATGCTGACCTTGTTGGAACGTTTAATCGTCACGCTTGGTCTAAGTTACCTCCGGATGGACGGATCAACCCCAGTCGGTCAACGCGCTTCACTAATTGAACAATTCAGCCGCCCCACTGAACCTGGATATTCCAGCGTGAATGTCTTTCTGCTAACCACTCGGGTCGGTGGTTTGGGCATCAACTTGACTGCCGCCAGTCGAGTGCTCATCTATGATCCGGACTGGAATCCGACCACCGATCTACAGGCTCGTGAACGGGCTTGGCGTATCGGCCAGACACAGAATGTGGTCATCTACCGGCTATTGACTTGTGGAACCATAGAAGAGAAAATTTATCACCGGTGGGTCTCCTACTCTCCGTTGGGATTTCCATCACACTGTCCCGTGCGCCTCTTTGGTGGCTGCAGTATCAGGCCTGTGCTGGGTACTTAGAGCTCATCATATCTTCCAGGGTTTGTTATATGCGGCACTAACACCATAATGTAGGATGTAGTCGTAATGCTTTTATTACTACGTCACAGTACAAATAGTTGCGCTTTTCATTCCTCTCGTGGATCAGTCCAGTCTGACTGTGGTCGCATCCGTGAAACACACGGGTGAAGATATGTTGAATATCACGCCTCTTCTTTTATGTTGCGATCCTGAATGAATAACCACTGTATTCCTCGTTTTACTTAGATCCTTCATCCACGAATGGATACCAATCGCTAGTGTACACATACGTTAAAGACAAATGTGTATTACACTATGTCTTGGTTAAATCTATGACACTCAACGCCTGCTGTGTAGGTTTACACTTCCGTTGTAAGTGGCATGGGATGTTGGAACATTGTCTCATGCAAATTTGTGCGATCAACGCCATTTCCCACATTCGTTGTAGATAGTTGCTTCCGATTCTTGGTTCAACTGTGAATCCCAAACTGCCTACCGCTAGGTAACGAGGCGTGGCTAGGTTAGAATGGATAGAGAAATGCTTATACTTGTGTTCGGAATACAGCCAAACTAACCCGAATTGATCTCATTGTTCGGAAAATTTGAATTCAGACAGCGCAGCAAAATTATATTCCAATTTCGTAATCGTGCGCCAAGAAGCGAGCTGCCAGCATGTTCCGAAGAAATTGCACAATTGACAATAGGTGAGCGTCTACAGAGTGGGAATGCTCCCGTAAACCCAACAACAGAACATTGTTCTTGTCCTCTGACCCAGAAACACATGCGAATTGTTACTTCCTATAAAACCGCACGTGTTTCAACGGTTGACTGTAGTGTGTACTTTTCGGTATTCACTTTCTTATCCAGGGTATTTTGTCCGGTTTGTTTATCACTTCGCCAATACAGTCTACTCGTCCAATTCTGACATACGACGGCGCATCAGTTAGGAGTCTGTGAGAAATTATCTACCTCGAGCCACCCTAAGACTACAACAGCTTGCAAACTGCCTGAGCATCTTAAGTAGAGCAGTTCACTGGGAAATTTGCCAATGCACTCACGCATTTGTCATGCAAGCGAATTAGAAAACGATTGGGACCAGGGACTCAGTTTGGTTCTACGTGTGTGTCTGGTGGTCGCGGCCGAGTACCAATCAAGCTACAGCACAGAGATGAAAACAATGAGTTTGCTCTCAACTTAATTTATCTTTTCGGTTTCTCCGTGGTCACAATGAGCTGCCAATTAGCAGACTTCAGCATTGCACACCCGATGTTCCCATCATACGTGAGCACTACTCTACATGCACCGGTGGTCAAGCACGACCAAGCGTCTAATCTCTTCGCCGCGAACTGAACAGGTCTCTGATCCATACAGTAAGATCGGCCCTACCGCAGCGTTATACACTCTACCTTTCACTGATAAGCTGATATCCCGCCATCTCCATAGATGGTTGTGTCTCTGGAATGCCACACGGGCCTTGCTGATACGTGAAGTAACTTCTCAGTGATGGGACCACCATAGGTGACACAGCTGCCAAGTAAACCGATCCACCACTTTCATTGGTTGTTTGCTGATCGCTAGAACCAGAGGTGTGTAGATCCAGTCCTGCAACAACAGCAGTTTACAATTTGAAGGTGCAATGCACATGCCGAAGCGTGCATCGCTACGCATCAGTCCACTGGTGTTTGCTTAACCACTTCGTCAGGCCCGAGAATAGCTATGTCGTCCGTATACTTCAGTTTAGTCATTCGTTCATCTAGCAAACCTTCCACTTCGGCAGCGTCAGAAAGAACGAAGTCACTCATGATCATTTCGACAACAAATTTGAAAAGGGAAGGATATATAGGACAATCCTGGCAAACTCCACTTGCCATGGGGAACTCGGAAGACAGTTTCCCTCAGACCCTTACGCAATCTCGTGAGTAACAATAGAGAGACTGTATGCTGGACAGGAATTTAGACAGCACACCCTTCATGGATAGGCAGTGCCACAAACTGGCGTGGTCAACAGAGTCAAAAGCAGCTCTCAAATCAAGGAAAGTCACCATAACCCATCGTATGAAACTAAGTAAACTAAACAAGCGTTGCCAAAGTAACTTGTCGCATGGAAAGTTACGTTAAATATAAGTTCAAAGGAGAGGGAAAGAAAACATTAAACAGCCACTTTTCATACATGTTATTGACTTTATTGTAACGCACATTCATTGTACGTCGTCAAGCCAGTTAACAGAGAGCGGGAGGTGGTGGTATTGCCTAAACGTGATGTTGACGATCGAATTCGGTTGTACCGATTTGATTACCATGAGCACACGATGAGTGCTTTATCTAGAGAGAAAGGAGTGCGTAAGACTAAGTTAAACGGAAGCAGCAGTACGACTTCCAGTTATGTCAGTTCATGCGTGCCGCATTGGGCCTTTTATCGTGGCCTTTTCTGCACACTGATATCGGAGTCATTTGGTCTATTACAGCGATCTACTTTTTCCCCGTACCACGAAGATCTAAACTGACTTATCATCGTTGAAGTGAATCGGTGTACCTAACCTGACGCCGTCTCTACATTGGCGACTCACTGCTTGTTGGTATATTCGCCCACTACGATGCTTCATGATACATGATTTCAGCAGTGCAGGCGACCTGTGAGAATCTTCGAGGAGCTACATTGGCTTCCGTCCTCGTGTGTGTGTGATTCATTAACTATCTATCTTCTTTACGTCGCTTTTCAACATATTCCCGTGAATTCACTTATCTGTAAACGTTCTTGGTCAAGTTTACTCAAACTGCTCTCATATCCCCTCCCCGTCAATTTCGTGCAGGCAAATTTTCAAGCAGTTTCTTACCAACCGCGTTCTAAAAAACCCTCGCCAGCAGCGATTTTTCAAGACCAACGATTTGTACGAACTGCTATCATTTGACGATTCCCTCTCTGCGGATGGTGATCGTGGTAATCACAGTAGCCGGTTATCGGAAACGGCGAGTTATGTGAAATCGGAAGGGTTTGGGCACATTGTGCGAAGGAATATAGTCGGAAAAGATCGACCTAATCGTTTCGATTTGCTACTCAAAGAAAAGCTATCGCAAAAAACACATTCGACAAATAAAAATCCAGTTGATGATGGGGATGAAGGTCTCCAGGCAAGGCAATCAAGGACCTGTGATTCTAACGTCCAACAATTTGCTCAACCTCTTGATCCATCTAAAGATCGGGAAAAACGTCTTCGTTTACTTGCTCGTGAGTTGAGTCGCCGCATTGCTGAAGGGCGGCTGGGTCAGAGCTCGTCACCTTGTACCGAGGAACCGCGCATTAAAACTCACCGTACTCACAAACATAACAAGGGTACACGTGTAGACGGACGAAGAATCGCTCTGGTCGCACGTCGATCAACCTACGACACCGGAGAGTCAGGTAAGGCGTCCAAATCTCGTTCTCCGAAGCGTCCTAGAACAACCGCACTCGACCTTCCTGATACATCCAAGGAAGGCGCTCAGAAGGATGTTTTCTTGAGTGTGCTTCTCTCTCGTCCCGGAACCGCTGATGACCCGAATGCTTGTGCTCTGCCATCTGGTTCTGATGGGCGTCGTGCTATCGATCCGGAAACGCAGGAGGAAGCTGCACGCATAGCTGCCAATGCTTTAAAAGCCATCCAGTGTTTATCACACGCTTCTCTGAGTAAGTTTGCAACACATTTTGTTCGGAGCATATTTGGAACTTGACTGAACGACGACACCTTTAGACATATTGAGATGATTCTCACAGTAACTCTGCGCTGCGGCGCACTCATTTGTTGTCTCGTTTGCGCTCCCATTGTTGGCAGGTCTCATAATATGGCGGCCTTTAGATGAGTTAAGTGTATGCAAAGGGTATGCTGCTGTTTCTGGCGTACATATGCTAGCGGTCATGTATATGATTTTTGTGTCATTAGCCTCGTGGACTGCGGGGCGTGTTTGCGTGCGCGTCTAGCACGCTCCGATGATGAATCTTTAAGTTACACCTAGTCGTGACTTCGCGTTGTGCTCGATGAGGCGCCTTCGATGTATGAGCCTCAGATTGTTGAATTAGGTTGTATAGCACGGCCCCACTTTATCAACACCAACCCGAGCAGTTCAAATAGACAAATATGGTAACAGCCCAGTGGTGTTGTGAATCTAGTCATCTTGACCAGCTCCGCCAGGATAATGAAGATTAGACACAATGAAGGGGTTTAAAACTAGACAAAGGAACATTTATCAGAAAATATTGTAGCATGAAACGTTATAAATGTGGAATAGAAGAACCGGAATTTGGAATCAAATGAGCGATACAGGGACACCGCTGACCGTTCACCTTCTTCTCCAACAAGATGTCATACATCGATGCTATCCAGTTTCTTCGTCAAGTGCCTGATGTTTTCTCCCGCTTTCTTCTTCATAGTATAAACTCATCCACATCATCAAACACGTTTCTAAGGAACAGCGTGCACTGATGTTGGCAACTGACTATCGTACTAATGACATTACTTTCGTACAATATTTCATGTTTGGTTCCACCTTAGCCATTTAATCGTGGAGGCATTATTAGCGTGGAAATAACCCTTCCTTCACAGACGGAGTAAACATGTTTATTTCCAACTTACATTTGCCCAATCAGTAGCGCGCTGCTCAGCCAATGAAAGCACTGACCAAACTCACACTATCGCATCCCTGCTCCACACTTCACTACAATTCCTGTATATTTGGACCAGCGATGCTCAAAATATCAGCAGATTCAGTCGATCCATCTTGGCAACAATCACCGGCCTCTCTTCGAATACACTTATGATATAGGCAACGGAAAACTAGCGAGTGCTTCTAATCCAAAACCACAGTATATTCCACAATTTTAAACGTGTAGGGCGTGAAACAGTCTTGTCCAAGGAGGCTTCGGTTTGATAACTGCTCGTCTCTGGATCGGGGTAACAAATGTACGACAAGCAATGCGAGAAGAAAGACCTAAGGCAAAGTGGAACCTCATCTAACCAGAGTGAATTTCTGGAGCACTAAAACTTGCGTTAAATAGACAGCGATACTAAAACTAATTGTACTGGGAGTATTATATACTTCTGTCTTGCAAAGCCGTGCGTAATTTTCCCAAAAATCCACGTTCCTTTCACTTTGCGACGTTCACGGTTACGACTGTGTTACCATGGTGCCTCAACAGTCTAGATGGCTAGTTCGGATCTAGCGACGGGTCTTTTGATCGTTTTTTTCTTCGTGCTTTAACTGTCGCTCTCATTCGGCATAATTTCCAATTTCTGTTTTATCCTTATTTGTACCTACTCAGACGGCTCCGGCGTGGCCGATGTCACTACTTCAGCGAAAAGACCTACTGCGTCCTACAGCATAATTGAATCCCGATCAACTCCGCCTAAAATCAGCAAACGCTCAGACACAAAGTCTTCCAAATCGAGCCAACAACTTTCCGTGAACCGCCCCGTTCTCGATACTGCTCGATCCCTTTCCCAGTCAGCTGATCCACTCACTCGTCTCAGCCACGTTTCCCACATACTTCAGCACGACAGTCTGATTGAAATGCTAACTCATCAAGATCGTATCGATCCCTCATTCCGAGACACGGAAGTCCGTCGTTTGGTAACGAACTCTGTAGACGCTCTTGTCAACGAGGCCAAACGCGGACCCCGTGCTACTAGTTTTCAACCGTCTATTCCCGCACAATTCATCATTGACACTGGCGTCTCACGCGACCTTCCTCTAAATCTTGCCTCTGTCAAGAACCGCTACCTGTGGAATCCCAAAGAGGAAACCAGCAACACGTTTGTGAGTTGGATTGCTTCTACCCTTTTGTTAATGTTGTAAGCCTTGGGCTCATCACAATGTTCCTGTTCCTCTATTGATCACTCCCTGCTGCTTGTCGTCTACCCACGCTAATATGTTAACTTTCGTTGACGCTTATTTCAATGGTGCCGTCTGTGACCGCATGGCGCTGACAAGGAGTAGGTATCTTGATCACGAACTTCTGTTTGGATTGTTTAGCTTCATGGCAGGCCCCGCGATATCCTACTCACGTTTCTCATTGGCATTGAAGCATTCACCTTTCCGTATTAATACTCAAGCGACCTACTAAACCCGACATTGACATTCTGTACATCACGTGATCCATTAAAACAGCAGGCAACTTTGATACTCTGTCAAAATTGAAAAACAATTTTCGAAACTCTTTTTTACTTCTCAACAATGCGAGGCACATCTTTGCAGGCATGATCACGTTAAACTAACATAGTATGGACAAAAATGTACCAAAATACATGCTTGGCATGACAGTCAATATCTGTATGGGTGTATATACCTTTTGTAATCGTGTATATTGGGCTAAACCAACTTACACTTCAACTAGGTCTTTTTAAGCTGGATAAATTTCATTCTACTTTATTTGGTTTGTTCTGGCTACCAGAGTGATCTTCTGTTAAATGGTCACAGTGCTTACGCTAATTGTGGTTATCTTCATTAACTTGATTGAATTTGTAGCATTTTTGAGTAACTTCTGGATATTTTGTATTTATCCCGGATTCGTTGCTGACCAACTTACTTCGTACGCTAATTTAGGGTAGAGATATGTCTGCATAGCTGTATTCTTTATCAGATATGTAATACTGGATGTCATTTCAAGTGACTGGCTGTTGTTTGACATCCCCAGTGTGGCTGCGCTTAATGTGCATGTTGAAAAGGCGCTTACCTGTCTGTTACCCACTACCTCGTCCATACTGTCTCTAGGAGACAGTTGATCCTTCCTGGAGGGTACGAGTTGCACGATCGTTCTAGGCTCGAAGAGTGGTTCTATGCAGTAAGTGTGGAGCGGACTACAGTCCAGCCACTGTCTTGGGTGCGATTGTTTCCCAAATACTGTGTGCTTGTGAAGGAGTGTGAGCCGGCTCCGTTGATGAAACGTGACTACCATCCACATGCCTCCCGGTCTTATTCCTTCGGGTTTACACTGGATATGGTGTGTGTGGTTGGAGCTGTGGGTGGTGCAGCGCAAGTTACCCGTGGTCCCTCTGTAGGCGCAGGCGTCCTGTGGCTGTCCTCAATGACAGGCAAATCCGAAACCGGATGCCGCCAACCAACTGTGTATGTGGCAGGTGAGTCTATGGTGCGCTGACGCTGGTGGTGGCTAGGTCCCGACGGATGGTCTACCCACTGCTGCTACTGTTGTGCCATGGGCTCATGTTCTGGACACCTCCTCCTGGCGTCCCCTGGGTGGGAGTTGGATTTCGCCCTTCTCCCTGCTAAGGTCGAAGACACATGAGTCAGTGAACTGACCATGTGCTAGACCAGCTGCCTTTCGGGTGTTCATTTAATCGAAGGCTTTGACTGAGGACCCGAGTCGTTCTCCCGACATGTGTGGCCCCTTGCCAGTATTCTAGTCCATCCTCTTCGGAGGCTAGGAGGTGGTCGATGGCCCTCTTCCCGTAAAACCTAGCCATGGGAGACAACAGGTCTACGGGTTATAAGATCACAGCTCGATTGGCGTATTGCACGAGTGCCATGTATTGTCTCTGTCGATGGGAGGGCACCTCCGGGTGTTCAGTGGTTTGGTACTACCCGCCTCAAGCCAGGCAGCCTCTAGTCAAATTGGTGCAAACTCGCCAAAGCCCTCCTGCGTCTGGCCGTGATCGCAGGTGCGTGTTATACTACGGTTGCAAAACATGTATCAATCCTTCCAGTATCTCAAAGGCTGGGTGTGACGGCCGTCAAACAGATCCCAATCTGTCTCTGCAGTCGCGTTCCCCAGCTTTATCTGCTCCCCACTGCATTGCGTGGAGCTGGGTGTGGCACAGAGCACAACTTCTTGTGAATCAGACTGTACACATATTTCCGTAAATCTGTGTATTGCACTCCCGCCGTGAATCGGCATAAATTTATCATTCTCTTCTTGGTTACTCTGTCGAAACCTATTGAACTGGACAAGGCGATGGCTGCACGCCTGTGTGATGTGGAATGCTTAGCCACAGTGGGCGACCTGTGGCACCACATTCGCGACCTGGTGAGAGGTGCTGCCGGGGAAACCATTGGGCGCGCAAACTGTAAGCAGCCTGATTGGTTTTATGAGAACAATACGATGATTGGCGCATTGGTGTCGGGGAAGAATGCAGCATTTGCTGCACCTGTGGCAGACCCCAGTTACTTAGGGAAGAGTAGTCAGTTTCGTAAACTTCGACGGCGACTGACCCGATAGCTCCGTCGCATTAAAAATGCATGGTGGACGGAGAAGGCGAGGCAGATGGAATGCTACGCCGAACGCCGCCAACACAAGAAATTCTTTGACTCAATGAAAGCGGTTTATGGACAGTCGTTGGAGCCGCTGGGGACGCTGATCGGTGGTAGTTCTGGCGCCGGGGACTTAAACGCACGGGTTGGTCACCTTCCACCAAGCGAGCACCACATTGGGGGTAGTTCTGGTCTCGCTAGCAGTCGATCAGACAATAGAGACAGACTGATTACTCTTTGCTCTGATCATTGCTTGTATTTTTCGAGCACTAGTTTTCAGCACTCGAGGTGGCACACTGCTACCTGGCGTTTGCCCTCACAAACGCAAGGGTGTTCCCAGCTTGACTACATGGCGCAGAAGCGTAACGGACTGCCGATCTTTCTGGTCAACTTATCTAGACTCGGATCACGCATTGGTTTGTACTAAGATTTGCATGCGCTTCGGACGATCACCTAAGCGCGCTCACCACCGAGCTGACATCGCAAATCTACAAACCCTGTGATTTCAATCAGGTACCAAGCCTCTTTCAACCTTGCTTGGCTGAACTATTGGCAGTGATCTCGATTCCCGGTCTGCGCAGATCAAAGCTGCTTTAGTTTCCGCCAGTGTCGACACTTGTGGAGTTGCCCGTCACCCACCGAATCGTTGGATTTCCACCGTCTCCTTGTCGCTGATGGACAAACGCCGCTTGATCCCCTCGGATTCCATACACAGTGTAGAATGCCAATCGCTTAGTCGAGAGTTGCGCAGGAGTCTGCAAATGGACCGCGAAGCTTGGTGGTGTGAACGTGCTAGGGAGATGGAGCTTGCTAATCTCTCTGGTAATACCAGCAAACGTTTCCCTCATTCGAGTCACCGAAGGTGTTTGATCTGGTATAAGTGAAACAATATGCGAAGAGGATGGCACCTTAAGCACCAATCTTCATCGATGCTTGGAGCGATTGGACGAACATTTTGGCTCGCAGTTTTGTTGGCCCCCTGCTCCATCTGCTACCTCTGGCGCTCACGCTGGGGCGGAGTGGTCTACCCCCACAGATCCCCCCTCTTACCAGGAACTCGAGCAGGAGCTTAGGCACATGAAGCGTTATAAAGCCCTCCGCCCTGATGGTCTTCCTCCAGCTCCATTTAAAGATGGTGGCGCTTCGCTGGTTCGAGAACTCACCGCTTTTTTCTCGAAAATTTCGTCGAAACAAGAAGTTCCAGCATCTTAGGGTGAATCGACAGTTGTCCCCATCTTCGGGAAGAGCCTGCGCACAATCTGCTCCAACTACAGAGGCATAAACTTAGTCCCCGTCGTTTACAACCTGCTGGTGTCCATCATACTTCGCAGGCTATTTTCAACGCACGAATCATTGCAGCGTAAAACCAAGCTGGGTTTCACCCTGGTCGCGGCTGCATCGATCAAATCTTCACACTCCGCCAGATCCTCGAGCTCCGTCATGTGTATCAGAGGCCAACGATTATTGTGTTCTTGGATATCCGTGCAGTCTTCGATTCTGTCGATCGTACGGTACTGTGGCATTGCCTACTGAGGAATGGTGTCTCCGAGAAGTTCGTCTCCATACGGCGCGCTCTATATAGTCTGACCTCGGGCAGGGTTAGGGCTTATGGCAAGCTTTCGCCTACCTTTGTGGTCTCCAGTGAAGTTCGACAAGGATGCCCTATCTCTCCGTTCATATTCAACTTTGCCATTGAGGATGTCCTGAAGAACACTGGGCGATTCGTTGAACGCTGGCGTTGAGCTCCTCCCTGGTAGCGGAGTTGTTGCTTTGCATTATGCTGACGATATCGTCGTCCTGGGTGACGATGTACACGTCGTCCAACTTGCATTAAACCGCTTGGTGATTGAAGCTTCAAAGTATGGTGTGTACTTTTCGCCATCCAAATGCAAGGCTCTCTTCCTAGACTGTCAGGTGCCTTTGCCTGTACTCACGCTTGCCAGTGAGACACTGGAGGTTGTGGAGAGCTTTGTTTACTTGGAAGTTGTATCGCTGCTTGCGGGGCTGTTGGAGACGAGATTTCGATGCGAATCTCGAGAGCACGCCTCGCTTTTTCTAGGCTGAGGCACGTGTGGCGTCGCCACGCATTCGTCTCTCCATCAAAGGGCGAGTCTATTGTGTAACTATTCGTGCTGTACTGTTGTACGGATGCGAGACCTGGCCCATTCGTAAAGATGACTTGCGCAGGCTATCCGTCTACGAACACCACAGTCTGCGGTTCATTGCCCGTGTGTGGTGGCGGCATCACGTACGCAGTGTGGAAGTTAGACAACGTGTCTTGGGACGAGGAAGCCACTCACTCGAGAAGCTCATCTCACTGCATCAACTAGGGTGGTTGGGACACGTATTTCGCATGCCTGTTTAGCGTTACCCGCGTCGTGCGTTGTTTGCGGTTGCTGAACAGGGCTGAAAGAGGCGGTCTGGTGGACAGCCTACAACATGGAGAAGTCGCATGAAAAAGCTGACGAAACAGTTGGCCTCGGCCGGTTGTTGTCGACCACCCGGTTGGGGTCCGGGAGATGCGCAGACTTGCTGGTTGAAGACCTTGGAAG